AAATCTAATTTTAAATGAACCCAATGGTCGTGTTTGTCAATATTTGACCCAACATTGGGTTAAAACAACTCTGCATGTATAGTGTACTTTATTATTTACATTTATGAGTCTCTTTACTGCTAATTCATTCTGACTTTCTTTAAATTGTTTGTCAAAATTCACATTTTTACTCGCCGCTGCTGCTTTGTGTAGAAAATAATTGCTAAGAAATGTTGGGTCAATCCAACACTGGGTCAAATATGGACAAAGCTAAGAGTTGGGTTCAAAAGATGAATCAAAATTTTATATTAAAAATGAACCCAATGGTCGAGTTTCTCTATATTTGACCCAACATGAGGTTAAAACCACCCAGCATTTTATACAGAGTAAATTTCTTTTCATGTCAACATTTATTTGAGTCTCTTTACCGCTAATTCAATATGACCTTCTCTAAACTATTTCTCAAACTTCACATTTGTACCGGCTGCTGCTGCTTTGTGTAGAAAATAAAATAAGGTCAAATGTGGACAAAACCAAACAGCTGGGTTCAAAAGATTAATCTAATTTTAATTTTAAAATGTAATCATATTAGTCCATATTTGACCCAACATTGGGTTAAAACAACCCAGCATGTTTAGAGCACTCGTTTCTTTTCATTTCTAGTTGTATTTCAGTACATTTAGTGCTGATTCATTATGACTTACTTTGAATTATTTGTCAAAATTAAAATGTTTACTAGTGTAAATATATATTTATCCTTAGAAATGTTGGGTCAATCCAACACTGGGTCAAATATGGCAAAACCAACAGTTGGGTTCAATAGTGTAATCTAAATCTAATTTTAAATATGAACCCAATGGCTGTTTCTCAATCTTTGACCCAACATTAAGTTAAAACAACCCAGCATTTATAGTCTACTTTTTTCATCTCCAATTTTATTTCAGTACATTAGTACAGATTCATTATGACTTTTTTTTTTAATTATTTAGCAAATTTCACATTTTTACTCGCTGCTGCTGCTTTGTGTACACTTTTTTTTTCCTAAGAAATGTTTGAACCTCGGCTCAGTTGGCGTTTCTGTGTGTAGTTTGCATGTTCTCCCAGCGTTCGCGTGGGTTTCCCCCACAGTCCAAAGACATGCAGTACAGATGAATTGGGTAGGCTAAATTTTCTGAAGAGTACGAGTGTATGTTTGTGTGTGTATGTGTGTGTGTGTGTGTGGGTGTTTCCCAGAGATGGGTTGCTGCTGGAAGGGCATCCGCTATGTAAAAAACGTGCTGGATAAGTTGGCGGTTCATTCCGCTGTGGCGACCCCAGATTAATAAAGGGACTGAGCCGACAAGAAAATGAATGAATGAAAGAATGAATGTTGGGTCAATCCAACACTGGGTCAAATATGGACAAACTAACACTTGGGTTCAACAGTGTAATCTAAATCTAATTTTAAACGAACCCAATGGTCGTGTTTGTGAATGTTTGACCCAACATTGGGTTAAAACAACTCTGCATGTATAGTGTACTTTATTATTTACATTTATATGAGTCTCTTTACTGCTAATTCATTCTGACTTTCTTTAAAAATTTTTGTCAAACTTCACATGTTTGCTGGCTGCTGCTGCTGCTTGTTGTAGAAAATAAAATAAGGTAAAATGTGGGCAAAACCAAACAGCTGGGTTCAAAAGATACATCTTCATTTCATTTGAAAATGTAATCATATTAGTCCATATTTGACCCAACATTAAAACAACCCAGCATGTTTAGAGCACTCGTTTCTTTTCATTTCTAATTTTAGTTTAGTATATTTAGTAAATGTAGTATTGATTCATGATGACTTCCTTTGAGTTATTTGTCAGTTTCACTCGCTTCTACTTTGTGTAAAACATTTTCCAAATACATGTCGGGTCATAGGCAGCACAGTGGCTCAGTGGTTAGCACTGGGGCCTCACAGCAAGAAGGTCACTGGTTTGAGTCCCGGCTGGGTCATTGAGTTTGCATGTTCTCCCTGTGTTGGCGTGGGAATTGATGAACTGAACTGACCGTAGTGTATGAGTGTGTGTGTGTGTGTGTGTGTGTGTGTGTGTGTGTGTGTGTGTGTGTGTGTGTGTGTGTGTGTGTGAATGAGTGCATATGGATGTTTTCCAAGTACTGGGTTGGAGTTGGAAGGGCATCCGCTGTGTAAAACATATGCTGCATAAGTTGGCGGTTCATTCTGCTGTGGCGACCCCAGATTAATAAAGGGACCGAGCCGAAATGAAAATGAAGGAATGAATGATCTTTTGAATCCTACTGTTGGGTTTGTTCATATTTGACCCAGTGTTGGACTTATGCTGGATGAGTTGGCAGTTCATTCCACTGTGGCGACCCCTGATAAATCAAGGGACTAAGCCGGAGGAAAATGAATTAATTAATGAATAGTAAAATAAAACAGGAAATTAAAAGAAATTTACGCTCTAAAAATGCTGGGTTGACCCAGTGCTGGGTCAAATATTGACAAACACAACTAATGGGTTCATTTTTAAAATTAAATTTAGATTAATCTTTTGAGTGGCAGCACAGTGGCACAGTGGGTTGCGCTGTGGCATCACAGCAAGAAGGTTGCTTGTTTGAGTCCTGGCTGGGTCATTTTGCATTTCTGTGTGGAGTTGGCACGTTCTCACCATGTTGGCGTGGGTTTCCTCCGGGTGCTCTGGTTTCCCACACAGAACAAACACATGCGCTATAGGGGAACTGATCAATTAAATTGGTTGTAGTGTATGAGTGTGTGTGTGTGTGTGTGTGTGTGTGTGTGTGTGTGTGTGTGTAGGGAGGGGGGGGGTTGTGGGTGTTTTCCGGTGATGGGTTGCAGCTGGTAGGGCATTCACTGTGTAAAACATATGCCATGATGGTTGGCGGTTCATTCCGCTGTGGCAACCCCAGATAATAAAGGGACCAAGCCGAAATGAAAATGAATGAATGAATGATCTTTTGAATCCTGCTGTTGGGTTTGTTCATATTTGACCCAGTGCTGGACTGAAATGACCCAACATTTCTTTGAGAAAATCCTATATTTAAGCATCAGCAAGTTCAAATGTGAAATTTTTAAAATAATTCAAAGAATGTAATAATCCGCTGTGTGAAGCATATGCTGGAATAGTTGGCGGTTCATTCCGCTGTGGTGACCCCGGATTAATAAAGGGACTAAGCTGAAGGAGAATAAATGAATGAATGAATGAAAGCAGTAGATGCTCTAAAACAGATTAAATTCATACAGAAACTGCTGGAACTCCTTACAATGAAACACACACAGACACACACACTACTGAATGTCTGAGACGTATTCCCTCACCAGTCTTCTTTTGCTCCTGCATGTGTGTGTGTGTGTGTGTGTGTGTGTGTGTGTGTGTACAGACTACATGTTGAAACACACATGATGACTCTATTGATTATTGTCAAATATTGCATGAGCAGCTCTTATTCCTGCAGCTTCACAACTGCACATGTGTATTGTGTAGTGTGTATGTGTGTATTGTGTAGTGTGTGTGTATGTTTTCAGCCTATTTTTAGGTGTGAGCGGCTGAACCTGTAGTGCCTGATGTCCTCTACTCTTATTGATC